ATCCGTACACAGCTTGTTGGATTGTCTTCTTATACCTTAAAAAAAACCCACAACTTCAGAACATATTTTAAGGAGTCATTTAATAAAATGACATGTAAGATACTAAAAAGTTGATGGCTAAATTAATTTTATTTTGGCAAGTATTGAAAAATATGTCATCTGTTTATTTTCATGAAAGAATGAGTGATGTGCCAGTTCTGAGAACAAGAGCTAGTCTGCTAATTTTCCAGTATAAACTTTTTTTAAAGTGTTTAATCAGTTATAAACTTAACTGTAACTGAATAGACTGTGTTTCATAGTGGGTTTTGTTGCTGTTGTTGAATTTATGCAGCATCTTCATTGTACTTCTCCATTAAGAATAGAGATCCTTGTTCTTAGGAGTGAAACAGAAAACTAAACAGGAGGGCAAAGAAAAGGGCAATGCCAGTAACAATTAAGGCTTATCAACAGGGCTATAGTCTACAGATATCAGAGAACTATAACTCCCATCATCCTTGAATATTGGTGAAGTTGGCTAGGACTAATAGCAGTCCAGCAACCTACGGGAGCAGCACCAGTTTGCCACTCCAACTTACAGAGGAAAGTTATTATTCTATACATGCTAGAAGCAGGTAGTTTTTCAGGGTTTTTGTGTTAATATCTGAAATGCAATTATCATTTTAACAAAATAGCCACTGACATGTATCTCCTGGAGGTGCAAGAAAACTGTGATAGATTGTATGTTGTCATCTTTTTCTTACCAAGTGTCGTGTACTAGCGAAGGGAAGGAGGGTCATAGTCAGCTTGCTATATGGTACCCCAATCAACTGAGTATAGCTCAGTGTTTTCTTCTTTCCACATGCAAGTTGACCATGTTCGTTACAGTCTCATTAATTTTGATACGGATAAATACTCATTTTACAAATATGGTGCATAGGCAATATGAGATCAATGCACTAAGCACTGTTGGATACAGAACGAGATTTGGATCCAATATCACTTTTGCTTGAACCTGGGGAATAAAGATGGGAAAAGAAGGATGGCCACTGTTTCATAAGCACCTCACAGGAAGACCCTGATGAGATCATAAGTATTGAAAAATAACCAGGTTGCATTTCCCTAGTCCTTGAAAGGTTATCACATAATAAATCTGTTAGTCTTTAAGGTGCCACAAGACTCATTGTTTTTGCTGAAACAGACTAACATGGAATGATGGTACCTTAAAGTTCTGGGCACATGTAGATAACAACAAATGACTTCTATTGTTGAACAAAAGCTCCATCACAGAGTAGTTGGCAATTTGTCATTGTATAAATTTGAATTACAAGTCGGGGGGGGGGGCAGAGAGAGAGAGAGAGAGAGAGAGAGAGAGAGAGAGAGAGAGGAGAGGCCTCACTGTTTCTATGGCAGCTTCTGATATATTTGCCTTCACTTGATTATCCAGTAGCATTTCAAGTGATGTCTTGCTAGTCTCACTTTTCTAGGTGCAACAATCACAGCAGGGAAATGTGTCTCTATTTTATTAAATCTAATAAAGTGTAGAACAGAAATAGCCAACATGGTACCACATTAGCTCCTTCTTGATAGAGGATAATGTTAAATACTGAGGAGAGACTGTATCTCAGTGCAGAGCACATGTTTTGCATATACAAGGTCTTAAGTTTGCAACTCCAGTTACAATAAGCTCAGGAGGAGAGCTTCAAAAGTCATCAACCTGAGACCCTGGAGAGTTGCCAGTCAGAATAGGTAATCCTGGGCTAGTTGTAGTCTAAATCAGTATAGGGCAGCTTCATATTTTCAACATGTCTTATCTGAAAAGCAGGATTCTCAAAACAATTTCCTTAGGAATGTGTGCTCCATATATAGTGGCCTTAAATTGAAGCACTCTATTCTGTGTCTTTATACTGCGCTTAGCTTTTCTCTAAAATAAGTATTATAAATATTGTTCAATGTGCACAACATTGTTCCATATGGAAGGAATATGTTATCGCCTCTGGCTGAGACTGTGGCTGCCTTGTTTCTTGAAAACTTAAACAGTTCCTTTCTTTCAAACCTCAGTACTTGATTCAGAGAACATATACAAGGGCAAGGTAGTGAGTCAACAGAGGACTGTTGCCAGAAGCTCTTGATTCGAAGAAGAGCAAAAATGTGCTACCAAGCTAATTTGTAATTAAAAAATAAGTTTATGGAGAAAATAAAATAAAGTTTCCCAATTTGCACTTCATTTCCCATTGCAGGAGGATTTGGACTTGGTATTTATTTAATTTTAATTTTTTGTAATGGCTGAAATAGTGAGAGTTCCAGTTTCTTTTCAAAAACAAGCTTCTAAGTGATTGAGTGCTGTATTGCGAGGCTAGGCTCTGGTTAAAAAATGAAGCATTCTCCCCTAGTAACAGCAGGGCAGCCTGACTAATGGGAATTGAACATTTCCTTTCCTGTCATGATCCAAACAGAGAGAGGCCTTATTAAGGGTGTCCACTTCCTTTTTCTTTTTTCTTTAAGGGATTGTTTAGAAATCTTTATTATTTAAGCAATGTATAGGCAAACATGGCCCTTGTTGGGGCTCTGCTGTTTACCCATCTACTTTAGCAGTCACTGTGAACTCAGCATTGTTGTACTGACTTTGTCTCATCACTATCTTGGAGCATTACTTGGAGCAATAAGTATTGCTATTTGAAATCCCTACGCTAAATCAAAATTCCATTGCTTTTTTAGACCCCAGCTGAGTGGCATACCTTAAGCAAACATGTATCAAATTGTATATATGGGTTCTAGAATGATGTGTTGGTGCGGGTTTGAGGGAATATCTGCAGGGGGATGTTTTGGTGGTCAGGTGCATCTAGTCTTTATAGCCAAGCCTTTCCCTACCTGGGCCCTCCAGATGTTGGACCTAAATTCTTAGCAACCCTAGTCAACAGGACCAATGATAAGGACCAAAACATCTGAAGGGCACCAGATTGGCTATGGCTGCTGTAGTCCATGAATTAGTTCATTTCAACCTTCACTAGTCCAATGTCTATCTGGATGGCAGAGTACTGGACACAAACCTGTGTATTTTAATTGCATGTCAATCATCCATTTCTCAGAGTTTTCAGGAAGTAAAGTTTATTATTATTTCCTCCTCTTAGTCTGAAGAATGGCTGAAGTCTCAGGTGGTATTGAAAAAAATGTTCAGTTACAAACGTTTTCCGCTGCCCTTGATAAAAGTCTTGACATCCCTCTATGAATGATTTTCATCAAAGCTATATCATGCAAACTGGATGTGACAGAGGATGTTTTGGACAACAATCCCTTTCCACTATAGGAGAAATGGAGAGCCCATAAAGGCTATGATGGATGCTCCCAGGCAGTTTAATGTAGCACTAGAGAAAATAGAAGCCATTACTACTGGAGGAGCTCCAGTTATGACAGGGAAAATAAATGGTGCTGTTACAGGAAATGTACCAACAACAAAATACCTGCTGTTTGGGGGAAGGGAAGTAAAACACACAGTACCAGCTATCCAGAACTAATTACCTTGCTGTAATGCCCAAAAGTGACATTCGTTGTTAATTGAAATTTGACATGGATAATATTTCACATATTATTTTAGGCATTATCTCACTGTGTGCTTAAAGTTATATAACACAGGCTGAAAGTTTTGTTTTGTCAGTGCTAGAACTTAGGCATGGTTTGCTTTCTCTTGGGATGAAAAGAGAGTATTTCATATTTTTTTCCTCATTGAGATCTAGTAGAAATGACATTTTATTTGGTCAATGATAAAAGAAGCATAAGGGACTTGAAACCAGAAAGATTTGTCTTTATTGAATGCTGCTGTTGCACATGCTGGAAAAAGAAGCTTGCCCCATAATGTAATGGCTTTTGGGGCCATCAAACTCCTAGTGTAGGACTGCATTCCTATTTTCAGATTGCAAAACAAAAAGCTTTTTAAAAATATCACAGCTGCTATCTTCCTGTTTTCGCTCTGAATTGCTCTATAGCAGAAGATAAAACTAATTATCATTAGGTTCAATGTGTCATTAAGCATTTCCTGGCTTTCCTTCATAATAAGATCTTTTGAAAAAAGAGAGTCAAGCAGAATCTTCTGTCTGACAATCCATGATACAGAAAATGGTGGGAAATCAATTTGCCTGGTAGGTTGGGGCGGGGGGGGGGAATTCTGGTAGACCCTTTGTTTCATGTCTATGATGCTGTCTCATTCTTTGCAGGGAAATAATGCTTTAAGTTTCAGAAAAGTATTTTCACTTTTTGATGCTTTGTTCCTGTCCAGAAGACGCTTTTGCTCCTGTAAATGTCAGGTTGCCTCCTGCAAAATTCCAACACACATTAATCAGGAAATGTCTACTGCAGTAGCAGTTTCACCCACAAAAGATTAATTTATAACTAAACTAAGTTGATTTTTCATTTAAATAGGTTTGTGCTTGCAAAACTCAGTGTGATTCATGTTTCTTTTCATCACTGATATATAAGCCTGACATCTGGAAACTAAATGCTACTTCGCCTTTGTGGAGAGGATTTCCAGACACGAAAATTAAGGAAACTTCATATAGTAGAAAGTTTTTCAACATATGTATTTTGGCCTTCTTACTTTGTTTATACAGTCCTCTTTCTATGTCTCTATACTATTTTCTATATCTCAATCCCAGTTGGTGGCTTGGACAAAGAAAGGGGAAGCAGTAGCTTTGGAAACTGCTCTAGGAACTACACGAGCAGCGAGTTTTCCATTATCAATTCCCCAAGCTGCTAACTCTTTCGATAACCTTCATTGCATTGGCAACTATCCACAACTTGCTTTAGTGTGCCTCCATTTCATTGGTTTAACCTTGGATGTACATCAGACTTTTTAACAACTCACAAACAAAAGGACATGGTTGAGCTTATCATATAAAAGTCTTAGCACAAAAGTTTGAAAAATATAGCTTCCTTCCAAACTACTTGAGTGTTGAGTGTAAACTAAAGTAGCAACTTTGGGGGATTGATATAGTCTGTCAAAAGTGAAAATCTGCATTTTTCTGTTTCAGAATAGTCTTGATTCAAAGGCAATCATGTTTACATGTACCAAAGGGAGGGGAGGCTTGCTGCTGAATGAGGTAAATTATCTGTATGATGTGTCTGATGTGTGCTCCAGAGTGCACAATAGGGATCACTCAGCCTATAAAGAGAAGACTTACCTGGATCTGAAATATATTTCATTTATGAATCATTTCCTGTGAAACATCCCAAAGTGATTCAACAATTTTAACAGTAAAAATGTATCTAAAAGCAATTTCAAGCCTAATACAGAGACTGGGGAAAGAATCTCCACTTAAAAGTGTTGTTGGAAAAAGAAGTTATTTAATAGGTGCCGGAAATATAATAGAGGTACCAGCTCTTTGATACATTAACAGGAGAGAGTTTCAAAAAGCAGGTATTTCCATACTAGAGGTCTGATTCCTACATTTGTATGGGCTCTCTTGCAGAGTGCAGTGATCATTTGATTATATAAGTAGTTAAGTGATCTTCTAGGTAGTGTGGTGTAATTATTAGAGTGCCTGACTAGGATCTGGGAAACCAGGGCTCAAATCTCCACTTGGCCATGAATCTCACTGGGTGGCAGTGAGCCACTAACTCAACTCTCAGGTTTTTGTGAGGATAAAATGGGAAGGAAGAGAACTATGTATGGCACCTTGAGCTCCTTGGGGGAAAGGGGGGCTATAAATGTGATACATAATTAAATAACTAGATATCTAAACTGGGTCTCAAACTGTATAGGCCTTTGTACACCAGTACCAACACCTTATACTTAGCCTGGTAGCTAATTGGTTGCCAGTGCAATTCTTTTAGTGGTGGCATAACATGGTGGCAGTATTCTGCCCCAGTGAGCGGTCTAGCTTCTGCATTTTGCACTAGCTGCAGCTTCCAAGCCAACCTCAGGGGCAGTCCCACATAGAGTGCATTGCAACAATCCAATCTGGAGGTTGCCAATTCATGGTGTTGCAGTCCAAAAATGGCCATAACTAGTTTTTTTAAAAATAAAAATCAGCCAGAGCTCATAAAAGGCACTCAGGTCACCTGGGCATGTCACTTTACAGAGATGAATTGAACCTACTCCTTCAGGGGCAATTGACAGTAATTGACCCCAAGACTTTGAACATACAATTGGGGGACAATAATTGACCCCAAGACTTTGAACCTACTCCTTCAGGAGTGATTTACAATAATTGACAATAATTGATAAAATCGCAAGGTAAGTAGGTGTGTATGTGCGTGAATGAGGGGGAGAGGGAAACAACTTGAAGAAGAGTTGATGTGTTCATATTCACAGCACAACAAGACATGGGTAAGACATAACTGGAATGTGTGCATAAGTAGGGACGCAGTGTTATTATTTAATACCGTTGATGTCATGCACACTATCCAATAGATTTCTGTGACTTTTGTTCCATCCTTTTCTAGACACCATTCCACATTCCAGTGATCCTGCTAGTTCAGGAGAAAATCTTATAATATATTTAGTTTGAACTGTGGGAAAATGCAATATCCTTGACACAGAAAATGGTGTATAATAGCAGGATGACCTTCATTATATCAGAGCCATTATCTGATGAAACAAGATAAAGACACTATGCTGGGTACAGATACTCAAGATGTAGGTCAAAGAAAATGTTTGGGGAAAGGTTGTCAGTTCATTGTTTTAGTGCAACAGTGTTCTGACTGTTGGTAGCATAGAATTAGATTGACAACAACATGTTAAAACAACAACAACAACAAAGTATCTAAATATACATACTGTACAACTAAGGAGATTATATTATTTTTTGTTGTGTGAATAGTCTTAATGTTACATTTTTGTGAAAATTCAGCATGTGAAATTGCTTTTGTGTCTAGATGGAAAATCAGGAATTCTAACAAAAATCTGAACGTGCATGTTATTGGTTAAGCTGATCATGGTGTTTGTGTGTGTAATTAATATTCAGTATCTTCAGCAAAACATTGCTAACAAAGTAGTGTGTATTGTATGTCAGTAAGCATCCTATATTGGGGGAAAGAACCCATCACATCAGTGATGGAGTTCCAACTTTACAGAGTGTAGGAGGGCAAGTACCTGCCTCAGTGGCTTATAACCTGCAATTCAGTAGAGCTGGAAGGGGCAGGAAGTGTATGCAAGTTGAGTTAACTGTAAGGAATGGGAACAAGGTGGTTGTGCCAAAGGCATTATAGAAATTATCCGCAAAGCTGTTAGCTGCCTAGGACAAAGGTGCTTCTCTTTGTGGCATCCCATCAGTAATGCTAATGAAGCCAGTGAGACCACAATATTTGTGTCTCTCTGATATTAGAGCATATTAGCCAGTGTCCTCGAGAGAAGAGACAAGCAGAGAGGAAAGATGAGAGAGGCGAGATCTAGAAGCATATGGGAAGTATAAATAGATTATATAGGGGAACTGGAAAGCCACCAGGAGAGAGAATTGATGGCACCATGGCTTCTCAGGCTGACTTTCTAGTTTGAAGATAGGATAGCTACCTGCTAGCTGTGTTATAATTTGTGTTTGTTAATTTTTTGTCATTGATAAAACTCTTGTTGCCAATTCCAGGACATAGTCTTTTTCAGAAATCTGTCTTTGCTAGAAGTATTTTCATACATTTCAGATTCAGTCTAACAGCTGAGTGAAATAATATATTTTCATTCAGATTGGCATTTACTTCATAATACAGAATGGCATCAGTTCAGTAGCATGGATAGCAGATGGTAGCATACTTGCATGAATTTGTAGTTTGGGCTGTCTTCAGGATTAAAATAAAAGGAGCCCCAACAATTTTTAGTGTTCTTCTACATAAATTTTGTTGAATTAATAAATTTTGTGAATTTCCATTGATGAAAGGCTCTTTGATCCAGTGGAGATTTATGTGAGTGAAAAGGGGGATGGAGTATTTTCCACAGATCCTCCCTTTCTCCTACAGTCTTCCCCACACTACTTCCCAAATTGTTCTCAATCCTCTGGAGCAGATTTGTTTGGGGCAGGACAGAGATACAAAGGAAAGGGGAAATTAGCAACAAAGTCCATTTTAGTATTTCAGGTCTAAACATGGGATTACATGTTTGCAGAATTCCAGTTTCTGGCTGGCAAGTCAGTCTTGAATGTTGGCACTTGCTGCATTTTGTTTCATTGTGTAATCAGACATGAAAATCAGTCCTGGGTCTACAAAAGTGTAGCTGGTAAATTGAGATCTGTAGCAGTGCATGTTAGAGGACATTCGGCACAGAAACATGTGTGTATACCTTTAAGAAGTTTCTGGGATTAATTGGCTGCAGGTGACCGTTGCTATAAAGGAAAAAAGCTGAGTTTTGTTGCCTGCCTGCAGGAATAACACCCACCAGAGTTCGTGTTTATTTGCTTAGTAATAAAGTCTTCGTTTTAGTTTGGGTTTTTACACCTATGTCTCCTGGAGTCACTCTGTCCTCTGCCACCGGCTGGAAATCCCCCTCCAACAGGTTATGGGCCCAGTCCCCAGTCCTGAGTGGGCAGAGACAGAGCGTGAAAAGAACCCAGAGACTGGAAGCAACTCAGCGTTTCTCAAGCAGCTGGCTGTGTGAAGGCATCGGCAGGGAGTGTCTGTTTGGGACCAGGAGCCGAACATTTCTTCAAGCCACGTGTGAGTAAGGACTGAGTGGAAAGCTGAAAGCTGGGTGGCGCCATGGCTGGACTTGGAGCTGGACCTCAAGGGGGAGCTTCCTATTTTCCAGTAGAGAAACTGGGAGAGTCCAATTATATGTCATGGAGTTTACAGATGCAGGCGTTTTTAAAGAAAGAACAATGTTGGACTGCTATTGTTAACCCTCCTGTAAAAGAGGAGGATGAAGAAGTAGATGAAGCAGACCAAAGGCTGGAGGACAAAGCCTATGCCAATTTAATTTTGAGTTTAGAGAAGTCTCAGTTATCTCATGTGCGAGACCTTGAAACAGCAAGTGAGATTTGGCAAGCACTGAGAGCAATACATATTAGAGACACTGCTGGCAGCAAAATTACTCTAATGAGAGCTCTGTACCGAGCCAGACTAAGTGAGGGTGAATGTGTTTCAACACACCTTCAAAGAATGCGTGATTTATTTTCACAGTTAAATGAACTTGGGGAACATTTTTCTGAACAGAGAAAAGTTTATATTGTGCTGTCTTCACTTCCTGAGTCATGGGACAATTTAGTGATGACTCTGGAAGCAATCCCAGAAAGCCAATTAACAATGCATTTCTTAACTGGGCGTTTGCTTGATGAGGAGGAAAGACGCCATGAGAGGAAGGCCACAACCCCTCACCGTAACTCCAGAAATGGGAGGCAGTCCAGTAAAAGATATGCAACTGATGAGGAGCGGCATCCTAAAGAGGTTGTAGACCACAGAGAGGAAGCAGCGTTCACAGTCAGAAGATGCTATCGTTGTGGGTCAACCAAGCATTTAGTACGACAGTGCACTGTGTCTGTGGGAGAAAATACAAGACAAGGGCGGCCTGCGTTTGCTGGGAAGCGAGGAGACAGGAAGAGTCGAGTCCAGTATGTTTCTGCAGCAGTTCGAGGCACCAGTCACGACGATGGACAAGACTGGATTTTAGACTCAGCAGCGACAAACATTTTTGTTAAGTCTGCACAAACCCTTGTAGAAAAGCAGCCTTGTAAATCTGTAAATGTAGTACTAGCTGATGGAACAGTGCATGAGTCAGCTGGAAAGGGTAGTGTGAATATCAACTGTTTAAGTACCAAGTTTACCAATGTTTTATGTGTACCAAGTTTAGAAAATAATTTGCTTTCAGTTACAAGTCTTGTTAAGCAGGGATTTAAAGTAACCTTTTCTGGTTCAGGCTGTAGAATAGAGAAAGCTGGAAAAGTGGTTACAGCGTCACTACAAAATGGTTTGTTTGTTTTGAAAGACCAGCTAGTAAGTGAGTCTGGGGCATGTGTTAAAGCCTGTAATAGAGCCTTGCATGATGAGTGCCAGCATCTGTGGCATCGTCGTTTGGGGCATGCCAATTTCCGCAGTATTGCAAAAATGCCAGAATTAAGCAAGGGAATTAAAATGAAAAAATTTCAGTTTTTCTAGACTGCAATACCTGCAAGGAGTCTAAAAGTAAGCGAGGGTCTTATCCTGAAAGTACTAGAATTAGCAAGAGGCCATTTGCTTTAGTACATTCAGACCTTTGTGGGCCATTTGCAGAGTCTGAAGGAGGAGCAAAGTTTTTTTTGGTTCTTGTGGATGATTATAGCCGGTATACTTGGGTATATTTGTTAAAACACAAAAGTGAAACTGGTCAACTGATTAAGAATTGGGTCAACTATATAGAAAGGCAGTTTCCCTACAAAGTTACCCAGTTGCAAAGTGACCGTGGAGGCGAGTTCATGTCTGAAGCCCTCCAAGTTTGGTTGAAAAAACGTGGTATTAGTCACCGTAAATCGTGTCCTTTTTCGCCTGAAGAAAATTCAGTTGCAGAACGCAAGATAAGATCTTTACAAACAATGCTAGATTCAATGCTATGTGATTCTGGCCTATCCAGAAAGTATTGGGGGGAAGGAATTCTGTGTGCTAACTACATACAGAACAGATTGTTTCATTCTACCATAAACAACACCCCTCATTTTTTGCTTTATGGAAAAAAACCCTTTTTGGACCATGTTAAAACTTTTGGTTGCTGGGCTTGGGTTCACATCCCAAAAGGACAGAGAAGGAAAGGAGAGCCCAAGGCAAAGAAACTTAGGTTTGTTGGCTATCAAACTTGGTCAAAGGGGTATCGTTTTGCACTAGGGCATGGCAGAGTTGTAATATCAAGACATGCAGAGTTTTGTGAGCAAGATGGTTGGGTTCGTTTACATGGAAATTCAGAAGTTGTGTTATCTTCTGATGATACAGATAAATTTGTGAAATCTGAGGAAGAAAAGCCACAAATTAAAGAAAGTTCTGAAAGTGACAGTGATGAGGATTCAGGGGATGAGGATCCCAGTACACAATCTCCTAAAGCTGAACCAATTTCTCCTGAGCAGGATAAATCAGAAGGGGAAGATAATTCAGAGGGGGAGAGTGTTCAAGTTAGAAGGTCACAAAGAAGCAATAAGGGGGTACCTCCAGAAAGGTTTACTATACAAGAAGCTAAAACTGTTGATGTGAAAAAGGAACCTCGTGATTATGAGGAAGTTTTAAAGTTACCACACCAGGAAATAGTAAGGTGGAAAAATGCAATGAAAGCAGAAATGAAATCTTTAGCAGAACACAATGTCTTTACCATTGAGCCATTGCCAGAAGGAAAAAAGGCAGTGGGCTGTAGATGGGTGTATAAAATAAAACATTTGGCAGATGGTGATGTTAAGTACAAAGCCAGACTGGTAGCACAAGGCTTTACTCAAAGAAAAGGTGAAAGCTTTGATGAAACCTTTTCTCCTACTGCAAGGAGTGAAAGTGTACGCTTATTGCTAGCTCTTGCAGCACAACGTGGGTTTAAGGTAAACCATTTTGATATTGAAACAGCTTATCTTAACGCAAATCTGCAAGAAGAAATTTTTATGAATCAAGCGCCAGGTTTTGAGGCAGGAGAACAGAATTCTGTATATAGGCTGAACAAAGCAATTTATGGGCTCAAACAGTCAGCTAGAAATTGGAACGAATGTCTTGATAATGCTTTAAAAAATCTTGGTTTTAAAAGAAGCTTAGCTGATAACTGCTTGTACACTAAAGGAAAGGGTGATAAACAAGAATTGTGTTTGTGTTATGTTGATGATTTGCTTTACTCTACAAAAGGTGACAAGCAAGTGGAAAAATTTGCAGAACAACTAAGAAAGGAATTTAAAGTAAGAGATTTGGGGCCAGTAAAAAATTATCTCTGTTTAGAAATTCAAAAAACATGCACAACTGGTAGCAAAGTTGGGAGTTGCTGTGTGTGATATGTAAATATGTTTTGTTCTGTTTAAAATATTATTGTTTCTGTTTGAATGAGAGGGGGTGTTAGAGGACATTCGGCACAGAAACATGTGTGTATACCTTTAAGAAGTTTCTGGGATTAATTGGCTGCAGGTGACCGTTGCTATAAAGGAAAAAAGCTGAGTTTTGTTGCCTGCCTGCAGGAATAACACCCACCAGAGTTCGTGTTTATTTGCTTAGTAATAAAGTCTTCGTTTTAGTTTGGGTTTTTACACCTATGTCTCCTGGAGTCACTCTGTCCTCTGCCACCGGCTGGAAATCCCCCTCCAACAGTGCAGATGTAGGCTGTGCTTTAATGTGAAAGAACATTCATTGGTTTCAATGTACATGTAAGTTGGTGAATAGAGAAAGCATTAGTATTCAATCTTACAGATGGCCAGATAATTTGCTTTCCAGCCTTCCTTGACCGGGTGGCTGTGCTGGCTGGGTCTGATGGGAGTTGTAGTCCCAAACACCCATATGGCATGGGTTGGAGTGCTGGGAGGCTGGTCTAGACTGTAGTCGTATTTGACATTCTTGGTATTTGTTTGGAATGTATTTTTTTAGGCTTGAAGTATGCTAGGCTCCAGTTTAAAATCATTACATTTGATGTGTGTGCGTGGAGGGGGCGGGTCACTGCGGAGCATAAAGGTAGCCTCAAAATGTCTTCCTAGGGAATATTGTTGTACTGCAGGAATGCATTAAAAAATAACTCCTGTTGTGAACCAAATGCAAATTCTTGAAATCCAACAGTGACTAATATTCTTAGACAACTCTCATACTGCTGTAGAAGAGTTCAGTGGATCCAGTGTGGAACAGACCAAATTACAGAAATAAACATGGAATTTGTGGTACCTCTATAATTCCCTCTCCATACCTTCAAGAGAATAAGTTCTTTAAGGATTACATGTTTTTATTTATCCAGCAATTCTAATCCCTTATTTAATCCCTTTAATTTGTGTTTTCCCCAATAGCTTATTTTCTCTTGTATAGTCTTTATAAAGTGATACTCTAACATGAGCTGGTGTTCTTAAATATCTTCAGGGTGTTCTCAAAGTGTACTCATCTTACTATTTTTAATATATACTATCTATTTAATCATCTGGCCTAATATCCAGATGATTCACTACTGTGATTGCACATAGTTATAATTCGTTGGCACACTGAATCCCTGAGGCCTAAGGCTGCTTTCTGCATGTACATACTAGACTTGGGAACTGCTAAAATATTAACAAATGGCAGAAAACCTGCATACCCAGAGAACCCAGTAGAGGTCTTAGATAGCTTGATACTGTGTAAATTCATGTTTAGTAATAAATTAATAAAGTTTATTGTGCTTCTTTAAAAATGTTTATATCATTCATAGCTTTGTATAATTGGTATCTCTCTTCCTGTGTCAATATGCTAAATTGTGTTGGAATATAGCTTGATTATATAAATTTAGTTTTAACATAGGTCACTTTGATCACTGTTAAAAGTCTAATGAGGATACTCAAAGGACTGTCTCCTTCCATACATTCCTGTCTGCTCAGTGAGATCAACTGGTGAGATACATCCAAAGTGCCATTGGCAAGAACGTGTAAAAGTGCCTTCTCTGTTATTGTGGAACTCTTTGCCCTGGAAGATCTAGCTTACCATCATCACTATGATGCTATTCCAGTGCTGTTTGAAGATGTTTTTGTTTCAGCAGACTTTCAACCTGGCTGGAGTCTGATTATGCCTGGATTTCTCACTTTTGGTGCTTTTATCTACTGGACCTCTGTGTTCTAACTTGTTTGTGTTTTGTTGTTAAGTTTAAAATGTTTATTTTTTTATAAAAAGAATGTTAATTGCCTTGGGTGTTTCATTTATTAATATTTCTGTAGAGAAGTGAATATGACACATAAATAAATGAGTGTAATCTATCAGAAAGAATATTGGTCTTGGATTTAGAAGTCCTAGTCTAAAGTCTTAGATTTAGATTTATTGGTGTTTGGCAAGTTGCTATCGCTTAACCTTCCATTCCTCATCTGTAAAATGAGAACCTTAAGAACTTAACATTACAAACGCAATAATGATTGTAAACTACTTTGGATACTGAAAGTGCGATATAAATAATATAAGCATGGCTGATCTTTTTCAGGAGCATCCATTGCTTGGACAGCCTTTCTTTGTTCTTCATCCTTGCCGGACAAATGAATTTATGTCTGCGGTGTTATCCAGTTCGTATAAACAAAGCAGGCAAGTAGTATCAGTGTGAGGTTTATTAGGTTCTCATATTCACCCTAAATAACCAAGTAAAAGTGTACTGTTGTAGCCAGACAAACTCAGGTTAGAAATAAGGCACAATTCTTTAATCTTGTTCTTTATCTTATACTGTAATAAACCTGGGGGTGTTGCTGATAGTCCTTGGACATTTTAGGAGGTGTTTCTCAAATTTCATGTTCATAATATTTACTTGGTCTTCATTGTTATTAATGTGTGGACTAGGCTCCTCTGGAATTTCTATGATTAAAAGACTTGAGTGGAAAATATAATCTGCAGGGGCTTCTTATGGCCTCTGGCTACTCATGTATGACCCAGGGAATTCTGAGAATTTGTTTTCATTTCTTCTTCAAAAGAATTGTTTGACTGTATGGTTTCAAAGATAAATGTGTGATGGGAGACAAGATTACAAGCAAGGTCTGATCTTCTAGCTTCCATGATTTGGAACTCGAGATACCCTTTCCCTAATTACTTCAGTGACTCTGCTTAGAATATGCTAATATTTTGCAATGCTGTACCCACTGAACCCAACCTTGCAGGTCTTCAGAAGATTGTGTAAAATGTTCTTGTTTAAACAGGCTTTATGCTAGACCTAGCATCAGAGCTTTAGTAGATTTGATTTGGGAGTATGTTTTTTAGATCTGTTGAGATGTTTCAGTGACAGTTCATTGTGTTGTTCTTTGTTTCATTTCTTTGGTTGCAGCTTTTATTATGTATAGATATGCTTTGTTTATAAGGAAAAGCATTTTTTCTGGATTTTTACGACCTTAAAGTTGCCAGTTTCAGATTATTGTTACACAAAACTTGGAATGTCAGAACTTCTGTTTAGGGCTTTTTGGGATTTCCCCCTCCTCCATAGTAATGATGTGTGCAATGTTGTATCAATTTTATAAAAATTGGTAGCCATTTAAAATTATATCCAAGCTTTTAAAGACAGCTGGAGTGTAAAAAAAGCTATTTTCTTTTTGCTTTGTAGGAATACAAACTATATTATTTCATGGCTGAGTATCGTAGGCCCAATGGTGGGTCTCAATCTGCCTCTGAGTTATGCAAAAGCCAATTCTGAGCAGACTACAAGTGCTGACTAAAGAGGTAAAAAAAATCTTACTTAAAATTTCATATTGAAAAGCCATGTTACTCTTTTCCAATTTGTTAAATATTCTTCCGGATCTGATTATCAATGCTTAAAATATAACACTGTTTTTGTTTGTTAATATCTTCATCATCACCTTAAACCTTAAACTTGTGCATCCTTTTTATTTCTGAAGTTAGCAATTGCAGATTATTATAGTACAAGTACTTTGCATCTACCAGCTAAGATGTCTGTGATGGTGATTGGCATTCTGGCTTAGGATACTTCATTCCCCCCCCATGCATATTTTATCACCATTTTTTAAAAAATGTATTTTTCTTTTTCTGTAACTTTTGTTGTACACCACCCTGATACTTTGTACAAGAGTGAACACATACACACACACATGTAAAACATATGGGGAACATGTGGTTATACAGAAATTGCAGGTCTTCAGCCACTATCGTTTGTGGTCATTTGCCATGTTGTCTGGGGCTAATGAGGGTTAGAAACCAATGCTACTTTCCATGTAAAAATGGTGCCCAGAGTGTCATTTGCTTTTCCTTTGGTTGGATGACTTGTGCAATTGGTTCTGTAGACATTCCTTAACTGTAAAACACATTAAATATACAGTGGTACCTTGAGTTAAGAACTTAATTTGTTCTGGAGGTCCATTCTTAACCTGAGACTGTTCTTAACCTGAGGTACCACTTTAGCTAATGGGGCCTCCCACTTCTGTTCTCATCCTGAAGCAAAGTTCTTAACCTGAGGTACTATTTCTGGGTTAGGGGAGTCTGTAACCTGAAGCATCTGTAACCTGAAGAGTCTGTAACTTGAGGTACCACTGTATATTGAAGGGCCTTCTCTTTAGTTGTGCTGCTTCTGTGGAATCCCATCCCCCTGTAACAACAACTGGCATTTTGGGCATTTCATTATGTGTGGTGGGGCTTACTTGCCTCCCCTAATATTTTATTCAAGTTGGCACCCCTGCTACTTATACCCGAGCACTTTTTCTCTGCAGTGAAGCAGTATACAGTGGTGCCTCGCAAGACGAAAATAATCCGTTCCGCAAGTCTCTTCGTCTAGCGGTTTTTTCGTCTTGTGAAGCAACCCTATTAGCGGATTAGCGGCTTAGCGGCTATTAAAGGCTTAGCGGCTAAAAGGCTATTAGCGGCTTAGCGGCTATTAAAGGCTTAGCGGCTTAGCGGCTAAAAGGCTATTAGCAGCTTAGAAAAAGGGGGGGAAAGCGAAAAAAAATCGCAAGACTCGCAAGACGTTTCCGTCTTGCGAAGCAAGCCCATAGGGAAAATCGTCTTGCGAAGCGCATCGAAAAACGGAAAACCCTTTCGTCTAGCGGGTTTTTCGTCTTGCGAGGCATTCGTCTTGCGGGGCACCACTGTATTGAAACACTGCCAATAACCATTTTAGTAGCTGAAGGAGAGGTCACCAAAAAAATCATTAAAAAAAAATCAAAATCAGGAGTGACTTAATTTAAGCAAGTCTAGTGCATCCTGATATATCCATCCTGTTCCAGTTCCCAACTTTTGATTCTGCTTTTCATTATTTCTCTTTCAGATTCTGAACAGGAGCATGGGTAGTGGCGAAGCATAAAGATGTCCCACCAGTCCTGTAGCTCAGCTCAGACAGGAAACTGAGGATAACATCAACATCACCACAAGAAGCCTAAGCAGAGGCTATGGTTCATTAACATCCATGTGTTAATTATAACCAAGTCTTAGGAAGCAATTCTAATTGCAACAAGTATGATACATGGTCTTGGCAGGAAAGAAATGTCTGTTCTCTTTTCCCAAACCTGATACAGTAACTGTTTTGGGGTAACTTATTTCTGAAGTAATTCACAAAGTATATCCACAAAAAGACAACATTGGTGATTGTCAAAGGAATTTAAAGTTTCTACCTACCTTAGCTTCTGTTGCTTTCAGCTGCTTCTATGAAAAGGAATAATTTTGTAGGAAATGGTTCCCTTGCTGCTCTTTTGCCTTGGCTTAGACCTATTAGCGACATTTATAAGTTACCAATACACAGATTGCGTCACACATTACAGAAAACACTTTCCTTGAAGAATCAGCATGAAACTGCTGCTGCGCTCTTCGTGTGTTAGGATCAGACATGGTGTTTATAGGCTTCATACACATGAACATCTAGAACTGGCTGTGAGTTCTCACGTAGTCTGTACACACAGTCATATACACATAGTAATGCACACATTTGACTTGGGACCAAACTGGGTATGATGTGGCAGTCACAATTGTTGTTTATGTGTCTTCCCTGAGGAAGGGTGTGTAATTTTTTACCTCAGAGGTGCTGTGCAGTATGAGCACTTCCTTTTTATTACCTTTTCACAGTCACCTAAACACTTTAGCCCTCAGATTTGTTCCAATACCAGAAGTGAGCCAGGCTGTTGGGACGGGACTGGGGGGTGGATTGGCATGAGGACAGTTTCACCTTTGTACCTCTCTGATACTACAATTAAACTTCACCACCAGCCTGTCATTATATGTGAAACAGGAAACATGGCTGCTGGTTTCCCACCTAGTTTGTTTCATGTTATTTCTACAGTGAAGCATTTTCCATGTAGGAAAAATGTAATGTTAAATGTTGACCCTAAATTAAGCTGTCTTGGCTTTAAAATGGCCCTCGATGTTTTGCGTCACTTCCCCCCTGCCTTCTCTTTGTGCTGCCTTTCTTCTCAGAGTAGGCTTCGTAAAAAGTACAGCTGCATTGACAACCTGTTTAATACCAAGTAGCTTCAATTAGGACTCTGCTAAATGCCCAATAATAGTCTTCATGTTACATATGTTTATCTGGCTTATCCATTCAAGAGGTTAATTAACAGTTAATATATGAAATCAATTAGCAAAAAACATCCAGATATTAATTTCACTTCTATTTAAATCAGTCACTGCTCTATTAATGTCAGTCACGTTGCTGAGATGCATCATAGCAGAGATATACCTCTTAGTTTCTCTCCCACTGTCCTGGACAGACTACACACAATGTGTATTTGTTACTGCATTGAGTGGGTGTTATTTAAAAGAGTAAGGAATATAAAGATGACTAAAAATTCCAGTGTTGCATTGTTGAAGTTAAAAGTAAAGACTCCAAAGTTCACTAACTGGTAATATATGGCAGCAGCTTTCTTCATAATATTGAAAAAATGGTTTAGCTTCCACTTAAGGTAGTTTAGTGGGTTTTATGTTAACTTCGGCTTGTACTGGTCTTTGGTTCATGAATAAAGACTACACCTTACGTTACCTAGGTAAGTCTCCACTATTATTTTTTTTTTTTTGTTTAATATTTTATTAAGGATTTTCTTGTTTTACAGAAGTGTAGTGCCTCATATATATTTTTCCCCATGTAACATTTTTACAAATCCGTTTCATTTGTTGAGGCATTAGGGGGAGAAGAAAATAAAAATAAAAATAAAAAAAGGAGAGAAAAGAGAAAGGGGGGTGGAGAGAGGGAAGATGGATAAGGGTGGGATTGGGTGGCGGTGTTTCTATTATGTTTAATGTATGTAGAGTTTGGTGTCAGCGTGCTTGTGTTGTTCACTTGTGTTCCTTTGGTGGTGAGAGAGGTTGGGGTTGGCCTAGGGTGTGATTGTTTGCTTGTGATTGGCTGTGGTGATCTTTGTTTTCGTGTGTGAGTGAGGTGGGTGGGTGTTTTGGATCAGGTTAGCCATATTGATTTGTATGCTGTTGGTGGATTATTGTCATTGTCCTGTTGGGCTGTGTGTGTGATAAAGGGGAGCCATACCGGGGTGAAGGCATCTTCTTCTGTTTGTCCCCGTGTCAGTTTCAGTTTATTAGTTAATTTTTCTAGTAGGGCTGTTTCCCATACTATTTGATACCATTGGTCCATGCTTACTCCTGACAGGTCTCTCCAGTGTCTGGTTATGGTGTTTCTGGCTGCTGAGAGCAGGTGGGTTATGAGTTCTTTGTGGTGTAAATGGGCATTGTTGTCTTGGAAGATGTTTAGTAGGGCCAATTCTGGGGTGATGTCTATTACTTGCTTAGTTATTTTACAAATTTCTTGTATGGCTGTTGTCCAGAATAGTTGGATTTTGGGACACTCCCACCACATGTGGAAGTATGTGCCTGTGGAGGTGCACCCTCTCCAGCATTTTGGTGAGGTTCCTGGGTGTATTAGCGCTAGTTTCCTTGGTGTTAGGTACCACCTGTAGGTGAGTTTCAGTGTGAGTTCTTTTCTTTTCGTTGATATGGATTTAAAGGGGGGTTTAGACCACATTCTGGTCCATTGAGTGGGGTTTATCTCATAGCCTATGTCATTCTCCCATTGATTTTTGATTGCGTCTAGGGGATTTGCGAGATTTTGGAGTAGTATTTTGTATATTGCGGATACCATCCCTTTACCGTTTCCCTTTGTTGCTAGGAGGAGGTTTTCGAAGGTTGTCAGGGGCCTAGTTGCTGCTGATTTTACTGTTGGGTTGTTTAAGAGGGCATGTAGTTGGTGTTGTGTTAACCAGGGCATTTGGGTGTCTTCTAGTTTGTCTTGTATTTCTTGTGTTGACAAGGGTTTGTTATTTTTATAAAAGTCTATTAGGCGATATAAGCCTTTGGTTCGCCAGGTTTTTATCTTGAGGTTTTGTGCTGCATGGTGGAATAATGGGTGGTACGCCAGGGGGATTAGTGGGGATGGGGTTGGGGATAGTTTGCCTGTTTGTGTTTTCCATGCTTTGAGCATGGTCTGTGTGTACCTGTTAAGTGTTGTGGGAATTTTCTTTAGTTTGTTTGGGAGGAGTGGGTATGCTGTGGTGCAGGTGTTTTCAATTGTGTCCCTCTCTAGGTGTACCCATTGTTTTGTCTCATCTTCTAGTATATATGGGATTATATGGCGTATTTGGTTGGCGTTGTAATATGCTTCTATGTTGGGGATTCCCCATCCTCCTTCTGAGGTGGGGAGGTGCAGGTATTTGGGGCTTATTCTTGGTTTTTTATGTGAGAAGATGAAAGAGTGTAGTTTTCTCTGCCAACTGTGAAGTTGGGTTGAGGGGATCCAGATTGGGAGGGTTTGGAATAGGTAGGTTAGTTTTGGGAGTGTGGTCATTTTGATCATGGCTATTTTGTCTGAGAGAGTGAGGTTCATGTTATTCCATCTCTTTAGGTCTTTGTTAATTTGTCGCCACAGGGGCTTGTAGTTGTGGAGGTATAATTTATTGAGGTTTCTGGTTATTTGTACCCCTAGGTATCTGAACTTGGTGTGGCAAAGTTTTATTTTGGTGACCTTCGTGAGTTCTTTTTGGGTGTGAGGAGGGGTGTTGAAGCACATAGCTTCTGACTTTGTGAAATTTACCTGTAGGCCCGACACCATTGCAAATGCGTTGAGTTCTCTGATTAGGGAGGTTGCTGTGCTTATGGGGTCTGGTGTTGTGACCATTAGGTCATCTGCAAAGAGCCCTAATTTATAGGTCCTGCCTTTTATTTCCACTCCCTTGATGTCTGTGGCTGCTCGGATGCGGATTGCTAGGGGTTCCAGAGCCAGGATAAATAAGAAGGGAGACAGTGGGCATCCTTGTTTCGTGCCTCTTTGGATAGCTATAGTGTTAGAATCCATATTGTTAGTTCTGCATTTTGCTGAGGCTTGGGAGTATATTTGTTTGAGGATTTGTAGGAAGTTGGGGCCAAATTTCATGTTAGTTAGTACTGCTAATATGTATTTCCACTCCAAGCAATCAAAGGCTTTGAGTATGTCTAGGGACATAATTGTCAATGGGAGTTTGGTTGCCTTGCTGTGTTCGATCAGGGTCTCCACTATTATTAAGTGGATTCCACATGAATAATTATAATCACCACAGTGAGAAGTGTTACTCTGGCCCAGTTTGCATGTGACTTTAAACCATAAACTTCAATTTATTGTCAATGAACAGGAAGTTTGTGTGTGCTGTTCAAACGTTTGTGCTTCACTCCTCTCCTGCTCCTGATGCCAGGAAACAAGCCACAGACTGGCATGTGAACCAGAGGCGTAGCGTGGGGGGTGCTGTGGGGGCCATGGCCCCAAGCACAATTTTGAGAGGGGGCGCAAACAGGTGCCCCCACAGCAGGCTCCTTCAACAGAGCCTGGCTCTGCGCCAGAAGGAGCTGCGCCTTGACTGCGATGCTTGTGCCTGGTGCAGTTCTGCTCCCTGGGTCAGGTCTGGCCTGGTGGCAGAGAGCAGGAGGATAGTGGGCAGCAACTTCCCTACCACTCTCCTACCCTGAACTGTGGTGCAAGGGAGGGTGCCCTCCGTGCCTTGCCCCCCCTCATGGGTGTGCCCACCCCGGACTGCACTGACCGATGTGAACCCAGGCTTCTGGTCTGTTTCAACCAAACCACCAGTAGAAGCCAGGGTTTGGTCTTGGCTACCTGCTTGTGGTGTGTTTGGGGAAGAACAACTGCTCCGTGCAAGAATAGTAGGAGCTGTGTTTCCCAACCTGGCTCCCTCCAGATGTTGTGAACTCAAGTGACTCTTGGACATTTTGACTCGGCCCCATGGGAGTTGGAGTCCCAGACATCCAGAGGGCACCAGATTGAGGAGGGCTATATTAGAGGATATGAACATGAGCAGCTGACTTAAACCAGTTCAGATAAATGGTTGATGAAGCTAGGGATACTGCACCTGAACTTTGCCTTAGTCCATGTAGCCCAGCATAGTATACTCTTAGTGGTAGTGACTTTCCATGGTATCAGAAAAAGAGGAATCTTCTCATGGCGCCTGTTAAAACAACAATTTTAAAAAATAAAATAAAATGGAGAAGCTGGGACCTTCTGCATGCAAAGCATATGTTCCAGCATTAACTTTTGATGTCTCAACCAAAGAGAACAGGATTGCAAGCTACGCAATGAAGTGTTTTGTACAGTTCCTTCCTCTCACATCTAAAAGCAAAATAAATTACACAAAGCAAACAAATAAACGATTTGTATTATTTGTGGGAGTAACACAATTTGGTTTCATGCAAATTTTGGATTTGTTTTTTTGTTTTAGTCTAGAGTATGCACAGCCTTCTATTTTGCCAATATTTTTCACTTTTAAAGGAGTGCTATTTCTCAAGAAAATGATACAGTTTTATATGTTCCATTTATGAGGGCAAGATGTTTGGCACAGTTCCACTACCCTTCTCCTGGTTCAATAGAGTTCAGACAGTCACCTGGGATTTTCCTTAAGTATGAGCAATTTAACCAGTGGCCTAATGCCAGTGTTTTCAGATTAAGAAGTTCTAGTTTGCTTATAGCCATCAGTGAAAATGTAGAACTTCTGCTTACATATTTTAGGATTACTATTTAATTCTTTTTCCATTCTGATGCAAAAGGATCTAGCTTGTCAGACTACCTAACAATAAGTCAGCCGTTCAATGGTGTATCTTCATCACTGGCAACAACCAACAAAACCCATTTTCGGAAAACTATAACTTTATACTAGTGATTCAAGCCGTTTGAGTGCTTTTTTATTCATGTTAGGTCACAATTCAACTAGTCAGTCATGGCTGCGAAGCAAGAATTGAGACAAAGAAAACATTTCTTCTATGGCTTCTTCATTTTCCTCCCTCCCAGAGAAGTTTCTTTAGCAAAGCTAATTTGTATCTCTTTTCAAGATTTTATCTTTTAACACAAAACTAAAAAAAAGAAAAAAAAGAAAAGAGGAATGTCACGGACTGGAAGGAAACATAAGGATGCTATTCCATGCTGTGCAAACATTTCCCCCTGTTTCGTTCATTACTGCAGACACCCAGGTTGCCTTGCTGAAAGCATGGCATTTTGCCTTTGAAACCACATTGCCTTTTGCAGTGCATATGGCAAATGGGTAGCTGCACAGAGGGCTACTTAAATGCTTTCTCCCCAACATAACTCCAGAGGTTCTCTCAACTGACAGTGTTCCCTGCCTGCCCTTGTTTTGAGAAGCAAACTTTAATGTTCAAGTTGTCATCTGCCTCTGCAGCTGATAGACCTGTTTTCAGTGTCTGCTCAATATTGACAAGCATCCTAGCTTAACTTCTAGCAATAGAAAATGATAAGATAAACGAGAAGCATTTTGAAACAGAGAAAGTAGGGACCTTACCAAGACAAGGTTTTTCCAGATGAGAAATATGCAGTGTTCCAGCTATAATACATACACC